GCCTGAGAAGAAATGCTGATGTTTAGGAACCATTAAATTTGTATTTGGTCCCCCATATCTTTTCTATAAACCCATAAAACAGGCTGAGAAGGGGCAGGCAAAGATGGTTCTCTGTAATCTTCCTTTTTCTTTTTATTTTGTTTTTTAATTTTTTTTTTCAATTTTTCTTTCTTTCTCAGAAGTGGTTGACTGGCTTCTGGGCTACCACTCTGTTGGCATGCTTTAATTTTTCCTCATCTCACTTCTTTTTTCACCTTGCTCTTTTATTGCTGTTTTTCTCCCATTCTCACCTACATGAAGCATGAACCTTATAGATTCCTGAATGGTAATTCCAGTCTAGGGTGTCTCAGCCAGCAGAAAACAGGGAAAAATGTCATCAGTTCGATGGAATCACAGAATCATTAAGGTTGGAAACGACCTTCAAGATCATAAAGTCCAACCGTTCACCCAACATCACCATGCCCTCTAAACCATGTCCCGAAGCGCCACATCCACACGTTTTTTGAACACTTCCAGTGATGGTGACTCCACCACCTCCCTGGGCAGCCTGTTCCAATGCTTAACCACTCTCTACATGAAGAAATTTTTCGTAATGTTTAAATTAAACTTCCCCTGGCGCAACTTGAGGCTATTTCCTCAAGTATAATAGTAATGGCAGTTCTTCAGAACTTTTACTTTTCTCAAAGAAGTGACGTGAATCCTTGGGTATGGACTAGTCTTTAGTAGAGGTTGTTTTGAGATGACCAATGTTTTTGCTCAACTTTACTGTGTTCTGTACTGAAATATGTCTTTGCATAGTGAATAGTTAAATGATATGCTTTGTTTTGAGTAGACGGTCATTTCAGATAATGTAGATATTATCAAACTAACAGATAAACGTGATTTGTAGAGTAAGGTTTAGTGGCTGGTATTTGAAACAGAGGTATAGAAGTAATTGTAAAAACAGTTGCTGACTGAAAATGTGCAGCAACATGGGAAATTCTGTTTAACTTCAAAGCTTGTCCACTTGCCTAACGGTGTTTATATATTTTAATTTGTGCATGACTCAGAGGATGGGAGGGAGCATGTGTTACAGAGTTGGGACTAGTACTTGCTGGGAAAAGTCATTGCACAAATCCCAACACCTCTCACACGCTGTTGGGTAAACAGAAGGGGTGAGAATGAGAAGTAATGAAGATGCTTGGTTGTAAATCTGCTTGAAAAGATCTTGAAACAGGAACAAGTGCAGTACAACAATTTCTGTCTTTATTTTTATTCCCATTAATGATGAAACTGATTATCTCTATCTCATATTCCCACTTCTTATTTTCTCTGGTCATGTGTACTCTGCTAACACTTCTTTAAAGGAGATTAGGCCCACCAAAAGGCCTGTCAGCTTTCCTGGTCCTATGGCTTACAACTGAGAACCAGAAGATACATACCTTGGGTTGGCTTTGGAAAGCCATGGGCAGGAGTGTCCTGGGATTGATTTCCAGGCAGGAGCAGGATGGCAGTAGCCTGCCTGTGCCTGTGCTTGGCCTTGTGCTTGGTTCGGCCCGCAGCCAGATCCCAGAATGAGATGGTGATTGATACTGGTTTGGTTTGCCTCTGATTGCTTGTTCCTTTCAGGCAGAGACTCAGCTGGCAAGGTAGTCTCTGGCTCAGTGTGGGTGTGTTACCGTTCTCATGACATTGCCCAAGAAAAGTGGACTTCGAACTACCTGAAGGCTGTACGTGTGACTTGACCTAGACATTGGCCATCCTTGGCTGGCATGCCTCTTCCTCAGCTGTGATGTGTGAGCACTGGCAACTCCCTGTCCCACTTGTCCTTTTCCCCTTGCATCCTCGCGCTTGCCTAGCGGCATGTTGCAGATCCCCTGTCTGCTCTTCCCGTTGTCCTTTGGCTGACTGTGTTCTTGCAGACTTGGGAATTGAAACACTTTTGGAACAGAAGAGTCGGAAGGGTTGCTGTTTTGTGGTTTGCTGAAAGACAGCCCACACAGGAAGAGACAAAGTTTTGTTCTTGAATTTCAAAAAGTTATTCCCCCAATGTTACAGAAGCTTAGTTGATATGATTTCTATTGCAGGATGTATAGCTTAATCTTCCGAGTATTTTGCATAAAATTAAATTTCCTGTGTGTTTCCTTGAAACTTTTGTGAGCTTCATAGTCAAATTTTTCTAGAAGCTTTAATTGGAAAAAAGTTCTCATGGAGTAATGTAGTGAATCACACATCAAACTGCTCCAGTTTTATAAGAAACTTAACCTGAACATTTTCTAAAGCCTTATAGTCAGAAGAGACTTAGGGTAATTGCATTACCTTTAACCACTGGGTTGCATACAGTTTTTTCAGAGCCCTGTCTGGCAATGTAAGTTGTCATAGCAGCTGAATTTATCGAGCAAATAGCAGTCTATTTGCTTTATAGAATGATTACTACAGTATTCAGGGGGTTTTAATGGGTTTTTAATCTTTTGGTTGTGTCAGCTCTGCATGTGCTGGTAGCTAACACTACCATTTTTCAGGAATTGTATGTGAAACCTCCTTTAAGTTGGCTTCCTGTTGAGACCATTTAAATCAGAATCAGAAACCTTAAAGATGCACGCATTATGCTTTATATTCATTCCTGTTTAATGATCTCACTCTAACAACGTGGAGAATGGAGCCTTCTCAATCTATACAGTGCTTCCTCATTCCTTCTGGTCTAACTGAACATTCATTCTCTTTGTTTCACAAATCCTCCAAGAGATTAAGAGAGCCTAGATGTATCACATTTTAGAAACAATTTTTAGAGCCTACTTGCCAAACTCTTTTAGTTGTCAGTTTAGCAAAAAGAGAACTTACATGGTAAGATGAAATTACCTACTGAAATTCTGGGGTTTTGGTGACTAATGTGTTTTGGTTTTGTTTGTTTAGAAATTCTTCCTATATGGATCAGCCTTCTAGTGATGGTGAAACTGGAAGAAGACCACTCTAAGCAAACCCAGGATGAATCGGGTGCCAGGTGATGCAGAAAATGCTCACAGCAGCAGTGTGGAATCCTGTCCTTCCTTGCGGGATGTCCACTCCATCAACCCAGCGCAGCTGGTGGCAAGGATTGAGTCATACGAAGGCAGAGAGAAGAAAGGCATATCAGATGTCAGAAGGACTTTCTGTTTGTTTGTTACATTTGATCTCTTATTCATAACCTTGCTGTGGATAATAGAATTAAATGTGAGTTGCCTTTTTAGTACCCTTAGATTTTATTAATTTATTTATTCACTTCAGGAATGGTTAATAAGTTGCTCTTTTCTATCCCAAATTATATGCTATTTGTATCTATTTAAATAAAAGTGGGTTTTTACTTTTAAGCTTTCATGGACATAGTATCTACTTTTAGTCATTAGGATACGTGGTTTATTATCTTCTTATCATTAAACCTTTAGACGTTCCTGTAGTCTGTGAACCATGTTGAAGAAACCATTGGAAATCCAGTGAACTTTTCAGGCAGCAAGTAAACAAAAATGCTACTGTACATCTTTGAATTTGGCAAGAAGTGTAAATTTTAATAAGATTTGAGAGTTTACCTTCTGAGTAACTCAAAGTCAGAGATATTTCACTGAGGTGTTAGTCCCTGGAAAGATTTCCAATGGTCAAAACTTTTCTTTTGCTGTGGTGTATTTTCTTTGAGACAAACAGTATGCTATACATTGTGTATGGCAGGGTGCATTTAAACAACATAAACTCCCACAGTTACCACCTTTTAACTCCACCATTTGTAATTTGGAAATTGTTCAGGCAGTTCTGAAATTTCCAGAAAGCAATAGCATAGCTGATGTGTTAATATTTCATAAGTAGCATCCTGGTTCTTGAACTGGGTTTTAAGCTGTATTCTAAAATATGCATTTAAAAAAGGACACACAGGAAAAAGGGGAGGGATCCCTTTTCTAGACAAGAAAGATCTTGAGTAAACATTTTTTTGTCAGCATTCCTTTACAAGATAAATAACCTTGGTTATTGATCTGACATTATGAAGTTTCAGGAGCTGACTGTTCAAGTAGTTCATTGATATAGTGAAAAATATACTTTATGATTTAATTTGAGAAAGCAGATTTTGTTTGCCTGGATGCTTGTGTCTCTAGGTGGAAAGACTGTTGTATCCAGTGCGTAAAGTTGGCTCATCTCAGAAAAGGAGCATAGTGTTCTGATGCATTTCTTTTTTTAGGCCAGTTTCTTGACAGCATGTTCAACTAAGAGTAGCGGAATCTGGGTTTGTATCTCTTGTCGGGGACTCAGAGTACAGATTTTTCATATTAGGGCGCTCAGAATATTTAAGACTGTGTATAGAAAATGCTACCAACTCATGGCATTTCATTTTGAATGCTGCAGCATTAAGGGACCTCAAGATCCTAGAAGTTTTCTGTGTGAAAAGCTTTGTTTTAAGGAGAACACATTATGAACCAGAGTCCTGTACTGCCAAATGTTGGCAAGAATGAAAAACAGTTTTTTGTCTTCAGAGGTCATAATATTAGAGGCCATCATTTGATATCTGGGATCTGACACATGGTTAGGTTTTTTATTCTGTTTTTTAAATTAAGTTTTGTTTGCTGGGAAGTCAAAGAGCACTGTGTTAGGACTGTCCGTCACTGGTACATAAGTAATGGGATTTCAGAATTGCTGCTGGAGTTCCTTTAAGTATTGTTTTCCCTTTGTTGCCGTTATCCAGTGTGCTTAGGCATAATTTATTTTTAAACACGTCAGGGAGTAGCTCCATGGCAGTTTGAGCAAACCCTAAATCAAGGCTGTCATGGTTCTCTGTTCATCCTGACGTTACCATGGTGCTCAGGCAGACATGCAGTGAACAACTTGGCAGGGAGGAAGTTGATCTTCCTTATTTATACTGGAAACAGATGATCACACCTGATGTAGTACAGAGCAACCAAGGGGAAGCTATATTTAGAAAGTTATTTGTCAGGTAGCCATGGAGGGGAGGGAGAGGAGAAGAAATAGAAGAAATTTGGGGTTGGAGTGACTAGTCTCAGGAGAACACTGTCCAGCAGTATAGTTGGAGAATGTTTGGAAGTATCTAGACTTCCAAACTCTAGACACTAGACTAGCTTTGAGATAGTGAGCATATGTTGTTGGCATGCTTTGGGTACCTGCTTTCCTGAAAAGGATGACAATAGTCAAAGTCCATATTAAAGCCTTCTGTTGGTGTTGTTTTCCAGTGCTTTACATAACTTCCATGCAGTGCTCAATTATTGAATTTAAAATTAAAAACAATAGGCTATAGACACTAAGGTTTTTCGCTCCCAGCTAAGATATATATTCCTCTCACTCTAACCCAATACATCCTAAATGATTTTCTTACTAACCCAATTTGAACAGGAAAGTGATGAGTCCTTCCACTGGAAAGAAACACAGTGGCTAAGGAAGATATAATTTTTAATCCCCTCAGGCAACTGGAAGGGTTAAAATTGGGCATTAGTTATTTGTGGGAGAATGGTCCAATAGTTGCAGCTTCTGTGTGTTTTACAGTGGGGTGTTTTTGCTCAGGTCTCTTAAATAGTATGTATGCTGATAAGGAAAAGATGTGGAGTATGAATTCAGTTGCTGTTTTGTTTCCTATTTGCTAATATGTGACTAACTAGAGCTAGGTTTTGGGTGGCCTTTTGATCAGCTCTTTTGATCCTCCTTCTGAGACATAAAATGCTCTGAATTTGTGTAACAGACATTACATTTAATCATTTCTTTTTCCCTCAACAATTTGTTTGCTTTTATTTTGAGACAGTCTGAAATGTAGCTTGCATAGGCCAGGTGATAATCCTAAATGTTTTCACTTTGAAAATTGTGTATAACAATGAAAAACAAAGGACAGTAATCTTGAAATTGACATTCTTAGCGTGTATGTCCTCTGTACTTACTTTAATGACCTTTTTGTACATCAGTGGGGAACTATTAATTTCACCCTTCAGATTTGTATGTGTTTTGGCTTCAGTAACTTCTGTTCTAAAGCTGTGTGTGGTGTTGTTTCTTTGTAGGTAAAAGGAGGCATTGAGACTACCTTAGAGAAAGAAGTCCTACAGTATGACTACTCTTCTTCATATTTTGATATATTTGTAAGTGTTCTTTAAAAAAAAAAAGCAGCAACAAAATTATAGTTTTTCCACGTTGCTCCTTCCACAGACGTTCCATAGTTTTGAGTCCTGTGAAAGGGTTGACCTTTTCTTGATGATTTAAACCAGAAGGACTTGTGTCAAATTTCACCTATCTAGCAGTTGCCTTGCAAAATCTAGGGGTTGCTGCGGCAGCAGGCTTGTGAAGCCTGTGGATGGAGATGCTTGGGTACACTTAAATTGCATCTTCTGCTTGGCAGGGATGGTGGTGGGGGAGCTGATGAAAACTCAGCCAAGCATGTGAGACTGATGTAACATAAAGACAATTCATTAAGAGGACAAGACCAATAGTTTTCCAACTGTAAAATAATTTTGTTTAAATTGATGTTTTTGTCCTCCCACAGAAATAAGTCAGTTGCAGTGAGGAAAGACTTGTTCCCAGGTTGGCCTGTGTAGGTCAGGTTTTTTCAGGTATCTATGTTTTGACTTAAACAGGGTTTTTTTAGCATTGTGCTAAAAACAGATGAAGTATGATTCTCCTTTACTACATATAAGCACCTTACGTACATGGGAAGAGCTCTACTGCATTAGGAAACTTGTCTTTCAGCAAGGCTGTAGCTCTGTAGTTGCAATGCATTTTGCACTGCGTGGACCAAAAGTTACTGATGTCTAAGTAAAAACTGCTTCTTTACAGTTCTTCTAAAGGGCTCCATATTTTTGCAAGATCATTAATTCTTCCAGGTCTTGTTTGCCTGGCAGTTGGCTTGGTATCAGTCATTTCATAATTGTGACTATATCCAGAATCTCTCTTTGAAACTGGTATCAAAACCCGTACTTGTTTCTGCATTGCACCATTTGCTCTGTCAAATGGAATGAGATACTGGATACAAAAATTTTGTAAGCTAGCAAACTATGCTACTTCTCCCCGTCTCTCTCATCATTATTTTGCTGGCAGGTTCTCCACTATATACCTTAGTGCAGAAAGCAAAAAATGTTACCTGTAAATGTCAATGCTCTGGAAATTATTTTGCCCTGTAGTTGAACCAAGGGTTAAAAACATCTAATGCAAAATAATAGACTTTTATTCCCTGGGAAGGGACTAGGTCATTGAATTCTGCAAAATGATTTGTGGGCTTATACAGGATTTCTTCTGTTTGTACTACACATCACTGAAACATGGATTTGCATAAGATTAAATGGGTTCATTGTACCTCTGGCCATGTCTGTCCTTGATTTCTCTTCATTTCTATGTGTTTGTTTCACATTTTTTAGATTCTGAGCACATCTTTGAAAACAAGTTGGAGGCAATCTAATATCAAAGAATAAACAGGGAAATTGAGGGTTAGGGTCCCCGATTCAGAATCTTGTCTGTCTGCAATTGATTTCATTTTCAAATAGGGAAACCTGTTTCTAGGGAAATTTTCTTTCTTTACTGCAAAATATTTAGAATGGTTTGCTTCTGCAGGCATCGTCCATAAAGAATAATTGATTGCTGCAACATTGATATTTCAATAAATACTAAAAATTCTGTAAGTAGAAAATTGTTTTAAAAAATTATTCCCAGTTTCCGGTTGCATTTGTGAGGTCTGTACAGTTTTTAATCATATTCTTGTGCAGGAGCACACCGCTAAGATTAGTGGGGATGCACAGTGATGCTCAAAGTATTTGCTGGATTAACTGTGTCTAGATTTAACTGCTTAGATTCCAGTCAGGTAAAATGATCGTGAACATACTTTGTGTAGCTTTTTTATGTAACTTATTTATAGAATAAATATAGATGCACATGCTTGCATATTTGAGCCTGTGTAGGCATGTGAGTGTTGCCATTTGCTTTACAAATGGGAAATTATGTTCTATTTCTGTTTTATAGTACACATTCAAATTTGTTTCTCAATAACAGAACTTAGATTGCCCTGTTTTAAGTTGTTTTGTAAGCAGTATTTTCAGTGAGCTGAGAATCTTGTGGTTCTTCTGTGTTCTGAATTAACCAACAAATATTTTTTTCCTTTCTCTATAGCTACTGGCAGTCTTTCGATTTAAGGTGTTAATACTTGCATATGCAATGTGCAGACTGCGCCATTGGTGGGCAATAGCTGTGAGTAGTAGCCAAGCATAATGGAGTTTTAACTAGAATGGGTCAAACAGACAAAATTTTTAGATGCCTCTTAACGCTTGTATGTTAAGAATCATCTTGATGCTATATATTAAAATTTGCTGTACAGTAACAGATTAAAAACTTCTGTTCTGGACGATTTGCAGCCTAAAGCAAGAATTTAATAGCACATTGGGTGTGGTCCTTACACTATCATGTTAACACAAATTGAAGACTTATTTTGAATCCAGTATGGATGGCTAGTCGTAACTGCTTGTTACGTCTGACTTGTTAATTAATGTTTTAAATATATTTGCACATGAAATAGTGAACTGTATTTCAGAAAGCAGACTTGGTGTTATTTTACCAGAGATCCAGCTGTCCACTAACTCCCACATTCTTAGCTTTCTAAACTTTTAGGTGCCAGCCATTGAGAACTAGCACCTGTGTTGCTTCATGCTCCAAGACCAAATGTTGAATATGCATCCTTTCTTAGAAAGGCAATTCTTGAGAACTGTAGGAAATGATAAATTTTCAGTGCATTGGAGCAAAGATTTTTAATGCAGCTGTACTGTGTGGATGAGCAAGAATGCAAAACTTGATGACAAATTCATACTTCCACCAGTTAATGCTATAGATTGTAATGCAATAGGCACATTGCTGGCTTAGTACATTGTAAAACTTAGATTTCCC